ATCTATCTATCTATCTATCTATCTATCTATCTATCTATCTATCTATCTATCGCCAGCCATTTGTTTTTTTATTTATTTATTGCCAGCCATTTCTATAACAACAAGCTAATTATCAAAACCTAAAATCAAAGTTTCCTTTTTTTTCTGTTTCCAACATAAAGTTCAGAAGTGGTTTCCAAGTAGAAACAAAACTAGATGCATTCTTTTATTTAATTAACACACTTTTCCTATCTCTGCTACTCTATCAGTTTTTCCATCCATTCTTCCATGATGGAAATTGCATATATACAATTCTCGCTGCACTCAACATTTATAATAACAAAGTTCTCTTTTTTTCAACCTAAAAGAAACACTTCTGGTTTCAATTTTATACATGTTTTAAAAACTTTCTGAATTAAAGTATAAATCTGTCCAGAATGCTTTGTTACAAGTCCACCTAACATGATTACAAGTACATTGTTTACAATTTGTGTAACAAACATTTGAAATAACTTTGCATATCTTTGCCAGTTTCTCAGGAATTAGGTATTGCTTCATTTTATAAAAGTTTTCTTTTAGATTAAAATTCATGAGTCTACTCATTGACATATTTTCCTATTATTTATACTTTATATTATAACCAAATTTTTAGCTATGGAATCATACAGTGTTTGTATTAGCTATTGCTATTGCTGTTAACATACTCATTTTCCAGGTCAGAGTAGAAGAATCCCTAATTGGAATAATCTATAAAAATGTATCATTCATTTTTTTTGTAAGCTTTCATCTCTGATTACTTTCTTGGATCTCTCCATACTAATATTGGCTGAAATAAGCGTAGGTCAGTTCTGCAATGTGAAAGAGGAGTTTTAGCTATGCTTAAAGCTTATACAAAACAGGCCAAGAAAGACCAAACCTATCCTTATTTCTGGAAAAATTAATTATTGTATTGTATTATATTTGTTCCATCTTTTTATATGTACAAATATTATTATACATAATCTTTTATCATTTCCATAATAAATATGCATGTCTTTTCTTCAACTGAACAGGTTACACTGAAAGGATTTGAACCTTTACTGCAATTTGCTTATACTTCCAAACTTATTTTAGATAAGGACAATGTGGCTGAAGTTTGCAAATGTGCTGAGTTCTTGGGAATACATGACATCGAAGAATCTTGTTTTCAGTTCCTTAAATTCAAGTTTCTGGATCATAAATCAGGACAGCAGGAATACCCAAAATCAAAATGTTGTAAATCAAGTTGTCAGAAACAGTACAGTAAAATGGAAAGTGTCGATGCTAGAGATTTAGAAATTGAAGAGGAGGATGAAATCATGCAAAATGAATGTGCTAAAAATTCTCAGCTGAAGGCATGCAGTACGGAACAAAATGCAGCAGTGCCCCTACTGCAAGACAGTTCTAATCAAATCCATGACCCAGTATCAGAAAAGGATCAGATTTTTAATGTAGAGTCCCTCTGTCCCAAATACAGGAAATTTAAAAAAGCTTTGGAGACTGATAAAATCCCTCTTGTAGAAGCCAGTCCTGGTATTAATGAAATTCAGGTAACATCTGGTACTACTATTCATCAGGCTGAATCAAATATTACTGGTGCTATACAAAAACATCTTGAATGTACAGTTGTGCATTCAGATGCAAAATGTGAAGATACTCAGGTAGCAATGGAAGAAAATGGAAATGGAGACTTCATGAATGAAATTGCTCCTCCAGTTAAGAGTGCTGAATGTTTAGCAGAAAAGACAGATTCTCACTTTGTCAACCATAATTCTTCTGTGGCTACTCATGGACTTTATTCTGCTTCTTTCTTAAACGCATATGATCAATACTGCAATTTAACTTTAAATGGTATGCAGAGCAATACAGTAGTTGAAAAAAATGCCATTGCTGTGGGAGCCGAAAATTGCAAACCCATAAGTGAAAACACTGCTGAGGACCCAACTCCAAAATCTAATTTGTATGAGCAGGGAAATGTGATCAGTACATCACCTAGCCATCGAAGCAGTGTGGAGAGAGAGATAGCAGAACAGTTAGCAAAAGGATTTTGGAGTGATGTTTACAACACAGATACAGCATATCAAAGTTTATCTCCTGCATTGCCAAAAGAATTTTCAGAACAAAGCTGTTCAGAAAAGAAAACTGAATGTCCTTGGTTAGGAATCAGAATCACTGACAGTCCAGAGAATGGCCCTCCAAGAACTTTTACAACATTGAGCTCTGTCACTTGTCCCTTCATCAGTAATCTCAGTACTGAAGGCACCACTGAAGTTAATAGTGGAGACTGTATTCCAGAACAACAACCTGAGCAATGTCCTTATTCGTGTGTGATAAATTTGGAAGAGGATTCTGAAACGGATACAGAGGGCGACAGTGAATCCTTTTCTGCAAGAGAACAGGAATGTGAGGTGAGACTGCACTTTCTTTTTCTTTGTTAAAAATGTGCTATTGACATGTATTGAAACTGAAAAAAAGATATCCCTGACATTATCGTAACCAACACAGTAGAAATTGAAAAAATACCATGAAAAAAGAAATCAGATATAAAAAAAAAAATCAATTCCACCATGGTTTTGCAGGGTGCAACATTCTATGACTCAAACTATCCAAAGGAATAAAATTTCTGTTTTTCAATATTTTTGCTGGGAATTCTTGTACATTATATGCATTGGTTGTGTTATTAGAATCTTTCTACATAGCTACATATTCAGCTTTCATATTACCCTTGCATGATTTTTCAATTTTATGTTCTTCATTGAATCATTCTTTTAAGAATATGAATACAGTCTACCCTCCTCATTCGTATACCTTTTATTTATAATTATAAATTGGAGCAACTGGTCTTATATTTGTGGTGACTGTTCTAAGGACTTTACACATAGACTTTATAAATATATAAATAGAGGCAGGCACATTTTTTCACCAACAACAACATTATTTCTTTCCAGTTTTGGCTTCCAAGGTCAGGAAGCAATTCAATGGGATCATTCTAATAAGCAAGACTTAATTATTTATCTGTGGCAGAGAGATGCATTTTCACAAATCAAATATTTAAAAAAGTACTAGTGGGTTAAATTACCTGTAACAGAATTGTTTTTTAAAAAAGAAAAAAACTATTATTGTGTTACGGAATGTTAGTGGCATGACTTTGGAAAAATGTTTTGAAAGATGCACACTGAGTCTCATTTCAAAAGATTATGAGTTCAGAGTTTCAGATTTGAATGCTACTAAGTTGTGAAGCGTAATCAAATATCTATATTTTCCAGGTAAAGTTGCCATTTAATCCACAGAAGATAATTTCACTCTCTAGAAATGACTTCCAGTCATTTCTGAAAATGCACAAATTGACTCCAGAAGAGCTAGATTGTATCCATGATATTAGAAGACGAAGTAAAAATAGAATTGCAGCACAGCGTTGTCGTAAACGAAAGCTAGACTGTATACAAAACCTTGAAACAGAAATAGAAAAATTGGTATGTATGGATAGTTTTGTTCAATTAAGATATGTTTGTTATATGTGATGTATGTTCTGACATAGTTTTCTGAATTTGTTTTGTTTCCCTTGCATTTCTATTCACTGTATTTCTATTGTTTTTTATATTGTGAACCATCCATAGTGGGCCTGGAATTAGTAGGTGCCAAAATAAAACGAATAAATAAATACATTTAAAAATTTGAATCCTTGATTCTGTGTAATATTGACTATATATATGGTTATCTTTAATTATAGTAAATAAACATTTTGATTCTTCCTTCCCCTCTCCTTCCCCTATCTCAAGCTATAGGAAAATATTGAATATATTTTGCTTACTTGACACTAGCTGAGTGTATCTGCGCCTATTTCATTTGCTGTTTTATTATTTTCATTTGCACAAGAGTTTTCAAAATGTTTCTTGATTTATAATTTATTTATTGACAAAAATATTTTAAAAAATTGCTCTAAAAAAGCAGATTCTCTAGATAATATGTATAATTTTATTTTTATTTTATTGAGGTAAATAAATATTGTCTTTTACTAATATTTTTGAAGAAATTGCAAGATTTTTTGGGAAAACAGAATTTGGCCTACATAACTTTTATATGTTATATAGGGACACGGTGGCTCAGTGGCTAAGATGCTGAGCTTGTCGATCAGAAAGGTTGGCAGTTTGGCAGTTCGAATCCCTAGCGTCGCATAATGGAAAGAGCTCCCGTTACTTGTTCCAGCGTCTGCCACCTAGCAATTCAAAAGCATGTAAAAATGCAAATAGAAAAATAGGGACCACCTTTGGTGGGAAGGTAACAGCATTCCGTGTGCCTTCAGCATTTAGTCATGCTGGCCACGTGACCACAGAGACGTCTTCAAACAGCGTGGGCTCTTCGGCTTTGAAACAGAGATGAGCACTGCCCACTAGAGTCGGGAATAACTAGAACATATGTACAAGGGGAACGTTTGTCTTTACCTTTTAACTTTTATATTCACTTATGGAACAGATTCCATGGGGTTGACAGCAAAGTGACACCTGTTAAATAAAGAGGTGCTGATGATACATTATATTATAGTAGTTAAAATAATTTCCNCAGTTAACAAGAAAAACATACTCAGTCACATAAATTACTAGCCAACACTGATAGAATAGAGAACTATAGTCTCAGACATGGAACCTAGTTCAATTAATTTATTTACTGTATTTTTCGGACTATAAGACACTCTGGATTATAAGATGCAGCTAGCTTCTGGGATGGAAAACAAGAAAAAAAAGTGCAAACAGCCTGGTCAGCTTCAGCACAGCCTGACTTAGCAAGAGCAGCTGTTGGGTGGTTGGATCGGGCTCCCAGAATACCGTCAATCAGCTGTTTCAGGCTGCAAGGATCGCTACCGCCCATCACCACTTCCACGTGCCTCATTTTGGGCCTCCACACATCTTGTTTTCAGTCCGGCAAATGGCAGCAGTGATAGGCGGCAGCGGCAATCACCACCTGAAAATGTTAAAAACAGGATACGTGGAGCCAAAGTTGGGGTGCACAGAGGCAATGATAGATGGGGCAGTGGCAATCCCTGCAGCCTGGAACAGCTGATCATCAGTATTCTGGGAGGCCGATCCAACCGCCAATCAGGTGCTTGTGCTAAATCAGGCTGTGCTGAAACTGACCAGGCTGTTTTCTGTTTGCTGCAAGGAGGCAAATTGCTGGAGGGCAGAGGCTGAAGGGTGGGGGATGGCGTGTAGGCGGGGCTTTGGCAACATTTGCTCTATAAAATGCACAGACATTTTCACCCCCTTTATTGGGGGGGAATGCATCTTATAGTCTGAAAAATACGGTATATTTTTTATCATTGAATGAGACAGAATCACAGTGGTTTACATTATATTATATTCTCTTTGTTCAGTTGTTTAAAAACCAAGCCTGTGTTCAGATGACTTTCATCTCCCAAATGATTTTTCTTTCCATTTCTATGGTATATAGGATTTCTTTTGACATTTATAAAGGAATTGCTATGCTGGCTCGGAAAAGGAATCAATGAATAAATAGCATGGATAGTGAAACAGCATGCAACCTGCTCCCATTGGGTACCAGGTTATTAAAAGCTTACCAACATGTACTGACCAGTGTTGTTTCCATAAGTCCTGGGCCCAGCTAAACTAACACAAATTGTATTTTCAGAGTTTTAAATGCACCCCTAAATTCAGCATCAGTAAGAAGCAAATGCATACCCCACATGCCAAATTTATCAACCATTTCAGTATAAAGTATTTGCAAATAGTCATACAGTATAATAATCAGTCAAGAGCAAGAGAATACAAATTTCTTTTTGAGCTTATTTGTCCATTTATTTAAGAGAGGTCATTCTGCTGCCCCCCCTTTTTTCCCTTGACAAACCAGTTTGTAACATTGCATTGTAGTTCCACTTGTACAATTTGTTCTGTATCAGCAATATTTATTTATCTAGGATGATGCAGAAGGAAAAAGTGGTTTAACTTGCCTATAAATTGAAATATGTCTTTATAATTCATGTGATGAAAAGGCAAGTGCAAATTTTTCTTGATGGGAAAAACACTAGTGTTATTTCATAACTATGTTTGAAAGAACAGGAAAGAAAATGATTGGTTATGACTTTTATATCTTATATCTTCACTAGAAAATAGAGCAAAAATGCTCTTCCTGTATTTGGCATTAGATAGCTTATTGATAGATTTGCACCTCACTGATCTTCATTTAGATTTAGAGAGTTCCGTCAAGTGGTACAATTCCTGATTAGGTTCTGCAATTCTGTCTGGCAATATCTGTTCCTGATGAATAGATGGAAGAAATTGCCTTAAAGTGGCTTACTGTTGTTTCATTTAAGTTACATTGTACAAATGAAGTTCTGTCTTATGAATTGTTACAATGACAATTGGCCTGCTTGTTTCTATCAATTTTATCAATAATGATGCATCTACACTGCACAGAATTATCATTTCCCATATAGCATTAGCGATTTTGGCTAGAAAATTCTGCTCATGTAAAATTGTTTTGAAGTAGAACTAAATATGAAAGACTGTTTCACTTCTCAGTGTATTCTCAACCAATATTACTCCATTCTGCTAATTCTAGTTACCACTTCAGAATTGTGTATAAAGTACTGTATCTGTTTGAATTAAAGTGAGTGTAATCTTTAGTATGGCAATAAATACAAGCACATGTTACCCTTTATTGCTACACAACTAACTAGTGCAGAGGGTGAAAACAGGAACAGCTGATAGTATTAGATAAGGTAGTTCAGAAACAAGTAGGGTTGCAAACAAAGGCTTATGAAAATTGATCAGACTTTAGAGATGTTTCAAAAACAAGCCTGTGTTCAGATGGATTTAAAAATAGAAATACAACATACAGTTATGACATCGATTTTTTTAAAAACGAATAGGTTAACGTTATGAGGAAAGCACACCACATAATTAAATATAAAATCTTGCAACAGAATAATAAAAAGTGCACTAAAATAAATAAAATGACACAATCTGATTATATACAAACTGGCAACAAGATTAAAACTGTTCCAAATTAAAAATGTTAACATTAGCAAATTCCTACAATCTAAGAAAAGAAAAAATATTTTCTCTAATAGTGGTAATAATAATGAGATGTTTATCCAGACTGTTCAAAATAGAAGTGGTATGCTTTGACTTGGGGGATATTAAACTTTTGCAAAGTGGCCTTCACCAACACTTGGTCGCACACTTTGTTGGCTTAAATATATTTAACATTTGTAAATGTTATTTATTTCAGATGTGAAGAGACGAAGCATGTTTTCCTCTGAGATCTTAATCAACGTTTGTTGTACAGAATGCCTTTAAGTGAAAGGAACAGTGTTGTTTTTGCATATGAATCTTCAGTACACAGTACCAATGTTCTCCTTAGTCTTGATGAACAGAGAAAGCAAGATCTTTTTTGTGATATTACTATCTTAGTAGAAGACCAGAGATTTCGAGCCCATCGTTCAGTGCTTGCAGCCTGCAGTGTCTATTTTCGTTCAAGAATTGTGGGTCAATTAGAATCAGATCTTGTAATAATATTACCTGAAGAGGTAAGTACATTTGCTTGTAATTATATAATCTTATTTTGTACTACATTCAAAGTTACTCAGAATAATATGCATATCATTAGTAACTTAAGTCCACAAATTGTGGCTGAACTGCATAGGTAAATACTATTTCTAACAAAACCATGATTAATGTTCCTTTGAAGCTACTGTTCTCCATCCAACACAGAATTAAGGAAAAGAATTAAGGAAAAGAATTAATATTGCAGATGGTATTATTATTCATAAAATGTAAATACCCCACATACCTACTCTCAGCAAACCAACCATTTCAGTATAAAGTTGGAACCTGGAAGAGAACAGCTGGCCAGGTGCATGTGCGCAGCGGCCAGCTGCTCTTCCGGGTTCTGTCGCGTGCATGTGCACTGGCCAGCTGCTGTCTTCTGGATTCTGGCCACGCCCATGCATGCGCTGAAACCCAGAAGAGCAGCTGACGATGGTGCGCGTGCCCACAGAGGGCTTTGCATGCCACCTCTGGCACGCGTGCCATAGTTTTACCATCACGGCCCTATATACTATAGCTGTTTAGGTACCAACATTTTTTATTTAAAGGATTGGGGCAACAGGATTACTTTCAATTATGAAAACTTACGTTCTTAGCCAAACCAATCTCATAGGTTCTTGTGGGAAAACTTTGGAGTGCCATGTATGAATCTATTCGTCTTCTGAAATATAGTCATAATTCTGTGCCATAATTCTGTGCCATATAAGCTGCTATTT